GTGTGACTATACAACAGTCCTACTCTATATGTATAGGAGATTACCCTTATATGGTCTTATTGTATGTTTGCACCGATTGTACGGTTCGCATTCCTTCATCAGTTCCACTATCACACCAGATGAACGCTATACTCGGGATTTGCAAGTGGTTCTTCCTAATTGGTGCTCCATAGGTCATATTATGCATACAAATTTCTTTGTACTTCCAATCGGTATTGGTATAACCATAGATTATAGCATCTGTTACGCCTAGCATACCCAATTAAGTTAACATATTGGAGATATACAAGTTTTTGATATTCAATAATCGTCGCCGGTAGGAATTGAACTCTAGACTTGCCACTTGAGAGGTGACAACTTGACCACTTCACTAAGTCGCCACACCCCTACAAAGTAATATATACTTATTTGACAAATTACTATTATTTAACAATTTTTGACTAATAATAGTATTATCTAGCAATTTATAAATAAATTATAATATATTAAAAAATTAACTATTACTAACTTTCACCCTAGGTGATATCATCTAGTGGTATAAAAACCAATCAGATCGCCAGATCATATGTAACCAAAACAAAGCGAAGAAAAGAAAAAAAAATCAAATAACTCAAATAACTCAAGATTTTATTATAAAAACTATGCTCCGGCTTCTAAGCAAAAGTTTTCAGTGTCAAATTTTATATATATTTAGACTCTTTTAATCTAACCTAAAGCTAATCCTAAAGCCAACTCTAATTCCTAACCTTAAATTTATTTTACTTGTAATAAAAAATTTATAATACCAGGTGATATCACCTAGGGTGAAAATTAGTTATAATCTAAAAAAATAATAAGAAATAATTTTATGGTCATATAAGTTTACCAAATAATAGTTAGAATTTATTAAATATAAATGAAAAAATATACCAATTTGCTAATTAAATCAAAATTATAAAGCCTTGAAGTTATTAAATGTTTTTGTTATCTAATTGCTAATGATTCTTAATAATAAATATATTTATATTATTACAAAATAGATTTTTAAAATAGATTTTTATTAATATTATTTTAGTTATTTTTAGTTATTATTATTTTATATATTTGTATTTTCATATAGTTAAAATATTAGTTAGATTTATTATATTATTATATATTAGTTTTATATATAATATTTAGATAGTATATTATATAGTGATTATATAAAAACAATTTAATTAGCTAAAAGGAAGTATAAAATAGTCACATGAATCATATAACCTGAGATAATACAGAATTATACAAAAAAGTATTTTAGATTATACAAAAAGATAATACAAGAAAGTAACCCAATTTTTTCCAAGTTTAGTTATATGAAATCTTTCAAATTCTTTTTATATAAAGTTTAAGTATTTTGAATACAAAATCTTTTAAATTTCTCTTCTTCAAATTCTCTTTTACAAATAACAAATAAATATAAACAAAATGAGTAATATTTTATTCTCCTAACTTTTTCTAACGCAATTCTCCAACTTCTTTTAATACAATCCTCCAAGTATAATCTTCTAACTTCTTCTGCCAAGTGTTACTTATTTACTGTATATTGTATATCTTTTCTTTGAGTAAAAAGATATATAAAGAGTATTTTTTCCCTTTTCTGCTAACTCTTAAGTTTCTATATTTTACCTTAAACTCTGTTCTCTTTATACTCTTCTTATCTTGTAAATATGATATTCTCTTTCTAAAGTAATTTTTCCAGGCAGATTATCATTATGTTCTTGTATGAAATAAAGTTATTCTATATATTATCACTATCTTAAACTGTTTGCTTCTTGCTATATAGTTAAATAAACAATCATGCTTCTACTTCATATATATTTGCAAAAGTCAATCACTGTACTGAGTGATCTTGTTGCATAGCTATATTGGTTTAAGAAGGTTATAACTTTATAACAATATATATAAATTTAGTAATAAGTATTAATTTAAATATTGTTATATAATAATAGTATTATAAATACATAAAAAATAAAGGATTTTTCATCCACAATTAGCCCAACTCTTCCTGACGATTACTTGTACCAACTAGTCTCTGAAAGCAAGTTGAAGACTCAAGACCAGAAAGGACCAAATAACTTGAAGTTTTCTTAATACGAACTGTTGTTGATTAAGTTTTAAATGTGATACATCAAAGAGCAGGTATTTTAGATGGTTTGCAAAAGGGTCAAGCTCTTTCTGCTTTCTCTTGAGTAGACTCCTCTTTAATATTCAGCATCCAAACTAGAGGAGTCTCTAGGAATAGTAAGTAGAAGGAAGACTTAAATTAGTTTGAAAACTGAAAGCTATGAAGAATTTTTGAAACAACACTTTTTGGTTGAAAAACTTGCAAAACTTCACTTTTTCTCTACCGCTCTTTTTTTTCATAATTTTTGATAAAAAGTAGGAGATTTGGCTACCCCCTCCAAAAGATCAGCATTGTTTATATTTCTATTTTCAGAAAGTCTCGAATTACAATATGATGAATTAGAAATATAACAATTATATGTAAGGAGAAAGTTTTGTTTAGGTAAAATTAAAGTACACAGAAAGTCTTGTGTTTGAATCAGCATTGACTGTACAGGAATAAATGCTTTATATGACAGACCCAAGGAAATAGCTTTCAATGATGCCAGTTAACTATAGGGAAGACCTTCTGTTTAATCTCATATAATGAAAAAGCAAGGTTTAAAGTGAAAACTGTAAGAGGATTTTAGAAAAAATTGGCCTGTTATAAACTAGAACTGATAATCACATGTTGAGACTTTAAATCAGCATTCTAAAATTCGAGTTAGATTTTATGAGAGTTGTAAACTGGAGCAATATAATAGAGATATGCAATATTCCGAAGTTATATGTATATAATTTTTAGCCTTTAGCACAGATTAAAGTGCATTTTAGTTTATAGTTTTTTTTGTCAGATAGCTTTATATATAGATTTCTATGACTGCACTCAAAAAATCTATGCCAGGTTTTGTCGATCACTATAACATAGTAAAAATTCTTAATATTCATTAACGTTAGAATTAGCACTTAGAATAAAGTTAGAGATTAGGTACTCATATAGCAAAATCACTCAAAGAATCTTTTTCGGTATAGCACTAGAAATAGTTTTTTATTCTGGTTTTTGAGAAATAAGCAATTTTTAACAAAACGATCGCTTGTTTTGATCATATTATGTTATACCTGATTCTTGAGATCTGATTTGTGGATCAAGAACCTGCGCCACAATAATCAACAAAACCTGATACAGATTTTTTGAGTATTCTATGACTATATAGATAGTTTTTCACCTGGTTAGCAGGTTTTTATATCTGTAAACAAGTTCTTTTAAATTTTAGAATAGTTTTTAGATTTTTTTATCTTTTAAACTATCTAGCATATAAATTTGTATGCTAAAATGATTTTTGATCTATTTTTATCCATTTGCTCTTAATTTTATTAAGCTGTACTTCCTATTTTCTAAGCTAAAATAAAAGCGTACTGTTTGTTGGTTATAGCATAATTCCCATTTCATGAAATTTCTTTAACGATATTCCAAAAATTATTTATTTAACATTGGCCGTAATAGGACTTTGATGTCTAAATTTAATACTAAAAAAGGAACCTGCATGTAATACTTATAAAGATTCCTTACAATCATCATACATGGGTCCCTTATATAATATAATATTTAAAGTTTATCAAAAATTCTTTAAGACCAATTCTACATAATTAGTTTTAAAGTTAATGTTAAAGAGATAAACTAGCTCAAAAGTATAAATAAAATGGTATACTTTTCAGCTATTATATGAATTTATACTCTGGTTCAGGTCGCATAGAGTGTTACATACTGTAACTATAGAGTTTGCCATGTGACTTAGGTCTTAAAGAGTCATCACAACTATAGATGCTGGTGAAATTAATCTACTTCACCAGGTGAAATGGTAAAATAGTTTCACCAAAATTACACCAAAATAAAAATTTGGTGAATTGGTGAAATTAGTAAAATTGGTGAATTGGTGAAATTGGTGAAATTGGTGAAATGGTGAATTGGTGAAATGCAATTTTTGAATCTGTGCCTGGTTATACATGTTGCTAATCACTATGTAAAATTCTTTAAAGTTCATTAATGTTAAGGTTAGCATTTCATATAAAGTTAAAAACTAAGTGGTTTTATAGTAAAATCGCATAAAGAAAACTTTTTGTTAGTGTACTAAAGGTGGTTTACTATACAGATTTTTGAGAAAGAAGTGATTTTTGGCAAAATGAATGTTTGTTTTAATTGTGCTATATTACATCTGATTCTCAAATCTGATTTGTAGATCATACATAATCATGCATAACCAGACACAGATTCAAAAATTGCTGGTGAAATAGTGAATTAGTGGAATTGGTGGAATTAGTAAATTGGTGAAATGGTGAAACAGTGAAATGGTGAAATGATAAAATAATAAAATGGTGAAATAGTGAAATGATAAAATGGTAAAATAATAAATTGATAAAATAGTAAAATATTCATTTATTAATGATTAATATATATTTTTAATTAATGTTAATATGCATCAACTATCTATGCCAGCAGTGTTATTTGGCATAAATAGTTGATATATATTAATATTAATTAAAAATATATATAATTTATATAAACGTTATACTATTTTATCAATTTCACCATTTCAATATTTTATTATTTTACAATTTCACCATTTACTATTTCACCAATTTACCAACTCACCAATTCACCATTTCACCAATTAACCAACTCACCAATTTCAACAATTTTACCAATTTCACCAATTTCACCAATTCACCAATTACACTAGTTACATCAATACCGATTGGTGATTGGTAAAATGGTGAAATCATTTCACCACTCTGATTTTATTTTACCAGCATCACTAGTCACAACCAATTAGAATAAAAATTTTTATAAAAAAAATTTTTTTCCAAGTTCATTTTTCTTTAAATATTTTAGTATACAAATATATATGCTAAACCGGATGGTTTAAAAGATAGTTTGATCATTTTCTTTTCTGTTTGTTTTTTTACTTTTCTATTTTCGCTTTGCCCTTACTCCTTTTTTTTCTTTTTTACTTTTTTACGAGAAAGTGTCATCAGATTGGTGATATTCTATTGTAGAACAGTGATTCTGACAAGGTTGGCACTTCTATTTATTGATATTCAGGGTTTATATCTTCAGTAAGTTGAGAATCCTAGAAGAAGGAAAATTGTCACTTAGGTGAGTCGCTCCTGAGTTATACTCTAACGTAAAATTCTTGGCTTTGGCTATGGGTTTACTGCAATAATGAGACAGATTAAAAAAATCTTTATTTAGACAGAAATATAGTAGTTTAGCATTTTGCATATAGGCCTAGCTAGCTGAAAGCAATTTTGTAGTCTA